ACACAGTGAACCTCACATCAGTATAATTGCTGACGTCACACCTGAACCCGAGTAAATTCACCTTTTCCTCGTGTCTCCTGATGGATGTTGTGATGTGATTTCAGGAACAGAGTCATTTGCTGAGGCTTAAAACGACAGTGAGGCCGAGCGTATACAGTGGAAGCCACTTAAGACGGACACGCCAGGGCCGGGCATTTTGTCCGAATTAAGAGGGGCCCTGAAGTTAACTGGTTTCAATGCATTAAATCTCACCCGGTTTTCTTCATCCAATTACTGCAGCAACAAATTACATTTGTACAGCGGCTTTCACGTCAGGAGGAAATTGAACCTTTTTTATTGAAAACTTCTCTCAAGTCGGACTGCACAAGATCAGTGCGGCGTCTCTCTCTGCTGCTCACAATGATGTCAGGAAGTGCATTCTAACACTTGTCATAGAGTCCGCTCTTTAGTACGAAGCTTTCTGCCTCTCACAGGCCAGTCAGACCTGTGCCGGCCATCACAGATGGGGCCTCGTTCTCCTCAGAGTTGCTGTCGCTGTCGTTCACGACTAGTGGCCCCTCGGCGACCACAGCTTCAGCCACGATGGCCTCGTGGTCCTGGGGATCACAGCAGAGTAGATCAGCGTCAATGTCCAGGATCTGGTCAGTGATCTGCCTCTCGCTCTCGGCCTCTGCGCTTGTCCTCCCCTCCGCCTCAGTGCAGGGAGCAGCATCACCAGTCACAAACCACCTTTGTGAAGCAGTCGGATATGATCGCAGGCTTCATGCTCTCCCAGGCCCTGGCAACCATGCCGATGGCATCCAGAGGCTGATGTGTCTCACCAGCTCTCCCACCGTGGCATGGGGGCTGATCACGTTGCCATCGATGTTGTCCAGGAGGCACTTTCGTAGCTCCTCGTGGTAGGAGAGCTTCAGGTTTCGGATGATCCCTTGACCCATGATCAGAGTGGTGTCCGGGGGAATCAGTTCCAGGCAGATGTTCTTGAGGGTTGGAATGGTCAGGTGACATGGTGCACTGTCCACAAAAACAAGAATCTTACGCCCCTGCTCAACCAGCTCAGTGTCCCACTGCGTCAGCCACTCCTTAAAGATCTCTCATCATCCACGCCATCTTGTTGGCCTTATAGGTGATGGGTAGAACAGTGAGGTCAACCCCCTTCATACAGCGAGGGCGTTGGCTCTTCCCGATGACCAGCGGTTTGCGCTGGTCACTGCCGGTCATGTTAGGGCAGGCCATCAGTGCGATGCTGTCCATCGCCCTCTTCACACCATTCAGCGCCGTCTGGTGAAAATACAATGAGCCGTCGTGTCCTGGACGGTAGTACAGCCCCGTTTCCTCCGCGTTGTAGATGTCATTGGCGGCATAGGAAGAGAGCAGCACACTGCTGGTGTCAGCGCCCTCTGGGGCAGTGCTCTTTAGCTCTCTGGGAAGCAGCCTGTGTGTGATGTTGTTACGTGCCTTCCAGCGGCTAAACCAGCCGTCAGTCACCGTGAAGCCCGGCTTCCTGAGGTCACGCGCCAGGCTCTCTGCTTTGGCTTTGAGGATGGGCCAATGAGCAGCTGCCCCTCAGTGGACGCCCTTTGGAACCACAGGAGATCGTGCTCCACCTGGGGATCTTTGCCTTTGCGATCCCTCTTCTTATGAGGAGGCCGCTGTGTGGCACAGCTTCATCTCACTGGCAATGATGTCGCCCAGTTTCGACGTCTTGACTCCAAGTCTTCTGGTCAGTTCTCGTAGCGGAGTCCCTCATGGCTCCACCTTGACTCTGTCTAACACTTCTGTCTTCTCCAAGAGCGTCCGAGACATTTTCTTCGACATGGCGGCTGTTTATCACGCGCTGTGTGAGAGGGTGACATGAGTTAATGATAAAAAATAATAATCTGCGTATTTGCTACAGCGCCTGATCACAGTGTTGAGATGTCTCAAAGCACTTCCACAGGCAGTGAAGGCGTTGGATAGTGAAGCCTGTGTTAGAGAAAGAGCAACATTTTGGCGGGTGATGTGAATAGAGGAGCTGGTGGGGGAAGGTTCGGGGGAAAACGACTGTCAAGTATAAGTGATGAGAATTAATAATAGTATTTCTTGCATTTGATACAGAGCCTTATCATGTCTTTGAGATGTTTCAAAGGGCTTCACAGTATAAACTGTGAAGTCAATTGACTGTGTATTTTGTGGGCAGAGTATGACAGCCAATTGCATACAACAGTGACCCACAAACACTCTTGGATTGAGTGACCAAATTATTTCTTTTTTAATTCAGTTGGGAAGGATGTGGATGAGGGAAGTGAAAGAAGGGGGTAGGGGTTACCTTTTGGAGGCAGGGGAGGCAGGCCTTGGGGTGCGCTGATGATGGGGCAGTCGGGGTGGCTGCTCTGGGACAATCATTGACAAGTATTGCGGTGCTCCGGGTGGAGGAGGCTCAGGGCTGGAGCAGAGGGAAGTTTCTGGAAGGGCCCAGGATAGAGAGCAGGCGAGGAGGGTGACAGGAGACAAGAACTGATTGTAATAATAATTCTTGCATTTGATATAGCACCTTATCACATCTTCCAGATGTCCCGTAGGGCTTCAGACAATACTGTGTAAAGTGAATTGACTGTGTATTTTGTGGGAGAAACGTGGCAACCAATTGCACACAGAGGTGTCCCACAAACAGTCATGGATTCAGTGTCCAAATTCTTTTTTTAAGGGACTATTCCCCCCAGAATGCGACTAAAACTGGTTCCTATTGACTGCTTGGTAAACAGAGGCATGTGCAGTAAGGGAAGTTGCCTAAGTTTTCTCCCCGCTCGGGTATCGAACACGTGCTCGACAAGAGCCCAATCTGATATGTAATGTAGGGAGAGGGAGAGAGAGAATAATAGTAACAATAATCCTTGCATATCATATAGTGACTTAACTCTTATTCAACACATCTCAAAGGGCTTCACAGGATACACTCTAAAGCGTATGTGACTGTATATTTTGTGGGCAAAGCGCAGCAGCCGATTGTGCACAGCAGTGTCCCCACAAACAGCCATGGATTGAAGCAACTAAATTATTATTGTTGTTGTAGGGATTAAATCCCCAGGAAAAGTGACCCGGCAATCGACGAACAACTGAGTGAAGTGAGAGAGAGGGAATGAGAGAGAGTCAGAGAGAGGGAGTGAGAGTCAGAAAGAGAGAGAGCGAGTGAGAGAAAGAGTCAGAGAGAGAAGGAGGGAGTGAGAAAGAGGGCGGGACAGAGAGGGCGGGGAGGGCGGGGAAGGAGATGACAGGAAACAGGTAATAAACAGTAACTTGTTGACTTTCCTGTTGTTTTGGGGGAAATGACTGGTTCCTTCCTGTGCACCGGAAGCTGTCAATGCACAACCCAACCGGGACCTGGCGCTTTGTGTCCGAATTAACCGGTGTCCAACGTTACCCGAATACCGCGGCCGCCATTGTGTGCTGTTATATCCCGCGGTGACGCTGTGTCACCAACGGGTGGCGCTGCCTCGTGTGGTATGTGGTTCGATGCCGCGGTGACGCTGTGTCACCAACAGGTGGCGCTGCAGCCACTCCGCACTGTCAGTGATACACCGCCACCATCACAGAGATAGGGCGCTTTCACCCGCGCAGTGCATTGTGGCTCCCGGGCACCGCCATTGCTGCTGTTCCTTCTGCTCAGTGTCAGCGACACAAACCCCCGCACAGGCGGCGCTTCCTCTCGTCCCCGTCTCACCCCCTCCCTCTGGGGAAATGTCATCATTGTTATTATTATTACCTTCTGATCCGGGCCCAGGGGGAGGGTCACAGCCACAAACCTCCCAAACAAGTGGCTTCTGCTGATCTCTGGGTCTGGACACAGCCCCAAAGCTGAGAGTGGCAGCAGTTTGTGGGAGTGAGCGGTGGAGGGGACACGGCTGCAGAGAGCAGCACCGGAGCTCAGCGGAGGGTCTCACTTGCCCCGTTTGCCCGGACCTGGTCAAGGGTCCGGTTTCTCTGGTTTGCGGCCACAGCTTCTGCCGCTCGTGTCTCGCAGGGCTTTGGGAGAGGCCGGAGGCTCACTCCTGCCCGGAGTGTCGCCAGGTGTGTCCGGGAGGGGAGCTGAGAGCAGGTCGACCAATGGATAATTTGGCTGAAAAAGCTCAAAATCTCAGTCTGGATCCGAAACGGGGAGAAAGGGAACACCGTTGTGACGATCATCGGGAAGAGCTGAAGCTGTTCTGTGAGACGGATAAGAAATTGATCTGTGAGATGTGTCTCATTTACGCTGAGGAACAGAATCACAAATCACTCAGTGATGTCCATAGACAAAGCTGCTGAGATCTACAAAGGTACACAAGGAGCGGACTTTATAATGTGACTGCAATTACTCTTTCTTTCTTGAGCCGAGTGTCTGACACACACGGAAACTATTGCTGTGTTTAAGAGAATCCAAAGCAGGTGGTGATTGAGATATAAGGGAGAAACTATTTCCACTGGTGGGTGGGTCGTAACCCGAGGATTTATAACAGTTAAAAGAAACAGAGGAGAGGTTTTCCCACAGCGTTGTTCGTGTCTGGAATGCATTGCGTGAAAGGGTGTTGGAAGCCGATTCAATAACAACTTTCAAGAGAGAAGCAGATAATTATTTGGGGAGGACAAGTTTGCAGGGCTATGGGGAGAGAGCGGGGGAGTGGGAGTGATTGGGAAAGCTCTTCTCAAAGAGCCGACACAGACACAATGGACCAAAAGGCCTCCTTCTGTGCTGTATAATTCTATGATTCTATGATATGTTAACTGCACATGGAATATTGACCTGTGTCCCCGGAGGGACGCACTCTGTTTACAAATCTGTTGACTATTTGACACAGGCCGACAAGAGCCAAGGCTTGTGTATCCCAGAGTATATGTCGGGGTATCTATCGAAGTTTAACCAACTAAATGGCATGAGCGGCCATTGAGAGCGCTATCTGTCAGACTTCCCGCTGTGTGTTCTCTCTGGTCATACAGTTAACAATGTGTTTGTTTTAGTTAATTTCCATTTTGATTACAGGAGAAACTGAAATCATATTTCAACTTGGGTCTGAAGAGAAAGGATGTTTTTTTTCAGTGTTAATTTGGGCTAAAAGAGAAGATTTCTGCCTTGAAAGTAAGTTGCGTGTGATAGGAGTCAGCACTCTCACCTCTGAGCCAGAAGATTGTGGAATCCATCCCCACTACGGGCTGTTAGTCGTGTCTCTCTCTTTACCGTGTGATGTCTGGGCTCTCAGTCGTGTCTCTCTATTTACCGTGTGATGTCTGGGCTCAGTCGTGTCTCTCTTTACCGCGTGTCATGTCTGGGGTCTCAGTCGTGTCTCTCTCTTTAACGTGGCCCGTTGTGATGTCTGACGCCTCACTTTACAGGAACAGGCGAGGAGTCTGCAGAACGACGTCACGGCTGAGTTTGCCGAAATGCACCAGAGCCTCAGTGACACGGAGCAGTGTGTAATGCGAGAGCTCAGAGAGTGAGAGGAGGAAATGTTATAGGGTTTGAAGAGGCGTTAAAATCTATAGACCCAGAATTAGTAACGTTACAGCGGCAAATGGATGAACAGGACATGGGGTCCTTTCTGAGGGTAAGAAAAGGAGATTGTTTTTATTTATGTAATAATAGTCCTTGCATTTTATACAGCGCCTTTAATTTCCTTTTAATGCCTCAAAGTGATTCATAATAAAGTGTAGTGAATGTGTATTTTATAGACAAATACAACAGCCAATTTGCACCGAAAGTGTCCCACAAACAGCAATGAAGTGAATGACCAATTGTATTTGGGAGTAACTCCCTTCACGTTTCCAGTCGTGTCCGGGATCTTTATCGTCCACCTGAACAGGCGCAACACCACAGGTTAACGTGTCATCCAAAGGACAGCCCTCAGCTCTGCAAAACTAACAACATAACAGAGCTCAGCCCTTACACTCGCCTACAAAACACACAGTCACTACACTTTACGGTGAATCCAGTGAAGTGTTTGAGATGTCCTCCCAATGTGAAAGGCTCTGTACCAAATGCAAAACTAAAAACGTAACAGAGCTCAGCCCTTACACTCGCCTACAAAACATACAGTCACTACACTTTACGGTGAATCCAGTGAAGTGTTTCAGACGTCCTCCCAATGTGAAAGGCTCTGTACCAAATGCAAAGCTCCTTCTTCTCACCTTGTGTAAAGCTCCCTGAGCGAGTCACCGTGTGGAGGTTGTTCCGCACGCGGAGGGTTAGCTGCTGTGACTCTGACCTCTCGGTGTTTTGTTTCATTTCAGGAGGAAGATTCTCGGAAGATCAGGTCTGACGTTCTCTTCATACAAACTGTTTCACTCATTAATGTCAAAGCAGTAACCACGGGATCCACTCTGCTGCCTGTGCCCTTTCTACTGCCACCCCCTCCCCAGCTCCCTGTGTCCCCGACCGGCCCCACCCATCCCTCCCTCACTTTTAATGGCCTCCAAGATCTTGATCCTCCTGACCTCGGTGACCTATTAACACTATACCAACCTGTCTGCTCCACCTGCTCCATGTCCACAGCCCTACCCACCCCACCACTGGCGGTCGGGGTCTCTGCTTTTCTGCTCCAGCTTCTGGAACCAAAACCCCCCATCTCCCTCCCCTCCTTTAAGGCCCATCTCTTCCTCTTTGACCATGTCTTCAGCCACTCTCCAACTCCCACCCTCCAACCCTCTTGATTCCAACACCCGGCTCAGGTGTAACCCTTGACTGTCCAGCTCCTTGGGACATGTTTCTGAAGTGGAAGGTGCAGTGCAAATGTAATTTTTTGTTTCTTGTTGTTATCTTTACAGTGTTAGTGAAGACTGGATCGAGCCATCAGTGTTACGAGGAGATTTGACTCTGGCAAAGACTTCACAGTGTGGAGAGAAATGATCCACATGATCAGCCTTGGTGAACAGTTCCAGACTCGTCCCTCACTATAAAGCCCTCACTGTGTGGTAGATGCAGAGAGTTGTTTTTGGTCAGCAGTTGGGTGTCTGACACACACGGAAACCCATCACCATGCTTCTGAGTCTCTGAACCAGTCTGAGAGTTGCATATACATATGCCACCTCCACATGGAAATTTCCCTGTGTCTCACCAGTCCTGACTGTGGGCTCCAGGAGGTCACCACCTCACACAGACAGACATTCATCCAAAGAGAGACACGCACTCACAGACACAGAGAGACACACACTCACAGACACAGAGAGACACACACTCACAGACACAGAGAGACACGCACTCACAGACACAGAGAGACACACACTCACAGACACAGAGAGACACACACTCACAGACACAGAGAGACACACACTCATAGATATAGAGAGAGACATACAACCAGAAAGAGAGACACACCGAGACACATACTCAGAGAGAGACTCCTATTCAGACAGAGAGAGAGACACACACACAGATTCACACCCAAGAGAGAGAGTGACACACACATAAGTAGGGAGAGACACACAGACACGCTCAAACACCCAGAGACAAAGACATACAGATACAGACACGCGCACAGACAGAGACACACACATACTTGCGGAGACACACACAAACACAAACAAACATAGGAACAGGAGTTGGCCATTCAACCATTCGAGTCTGTTCTGCCATTCAATTAGATCATGGCTGATCTGTACCTGAACCCTATCCATTCCAATTTCCCACTTTTTCCCCCGTATCCCTTGACACCCTGAACTACCAAAAACCTCACGCTTGAAGGTGTGGATGGATTAAGAATCCACAGCCTTTTGGAGGAGAGAAATCCAGATTTCTACCACCATTTGAGTGAATAAATGCTTCGTGATTTCACTTTTAAATGGCCTGGTTCTAATTTGAAGATTATGCCCTTGTTTTAGATTTCCCACCAGAAGTAATAGCTTCTCTGTAACTACCCATTCAAATCCGTTCACCATCTCAAACACCTCAATCAAATCACCCCTCAACCTTCCAATCTCAAGGGAATACAATCTAAGTTTACGCAGCCTTTCCTCGTAACGTAACCCTTTGAGGCCTGGAAACATTCCAGTGAACCTGTGTTGCACCCCCTCCAGGGCCAATTATATCTTTCCTGAAGAAAGATATGGTCACACATTACCTCACACAGACAGACAGAGAGAGACACACTGAGAGAGAGAGGAGAGAGACACAGACAGCGCTCCCCACAGCGGCTCCTTAAAGCCGGGCGTTGGGCAGTGGTAACTCACCAGCCAGTGAAGCCCATTTCCCACCTGTGGTGCTGACACTATCCCAACCCCCAGCGCCGCGCACACACATCCAGAGCCGCTCACGTGCACAGAGGCCTGGGGCCGAGCAAACCACTGTTACTGGTGTTCGTGGGGGCAGAGGGGGTGCGATCTTCTATTGGCCCAGGAATCGGGGTGGCTGGTCTATCATGAGCAGCTGCTTCAGTGTTTAAGTCAATCTCTCCGCAATCAAAGCAATCGCTCACTGTGTATTTCTCTCTCTCTCAGCTCCGGCCGTCTGACTCTGGATCCTGACGCAGCCCATCCCTGGCTCATCGTGTCTAAGGACCTGACCAGCGTGAGATACGGGGAAAAAAATGAGAAGCAGCTCCGTAACACCTGGAAGAGGTTCAGTTACTGTCCCATTGTCTGGGATCTGATGGGGAAAACTCTGAGCCGCTGACAATCTGCTGGTCACAGGTTAAACCTGTCTCAGTCTGGCTCAGTCGGTAATGCTCTGGGCTCTGAGTCCGAAGGTTGTGGACTTTAAGTTCAGTGACTCCAGTGCAGTCCTGGGGGGAAGCCCTGCATTCTCAGAGTTGCCCTCCTTTTGATTGAGTGGATGTGAAAGATCCTATGGCACTGTTCAAAGAGGGGAAGCAAGTTTCTCCCAGTTTTCTGGCCAACAATCCCCCAAATAAGATTGTTTTTTCCTTCATGGCTGTTTGTGTGCAATGTAGTGCTTTGGGACGACCTCCTGACATGAAAGCTCTTTATAAGTGTAAATTGTATGACAAGAATCATAATAATAATAATAATCCTTACAACTGGAATAGCAGCTTTCACTACGGGATGACATCCCGGGATACACTGTAGTGACTGTATTTTGTGGGTGAACAAAACACATTGTGTCATATTGCTCTTAAGGTAATATCTTGTGATGTTCTTTGAGATGTTTCAATGGTGTGATTTTTAGCCCGACATCAAAATCAAGGGTTATTATGGTCTGGGCGGGAGCGAGATGTATCCAGGGGTGATGGGGTTACATTTTATAGGCCGCTTCTCTGGATCGTGGGAAACTTGGGAGCGTGTCAATCTGCCGAGCTTGGCAGCGTGATCCTGTCTGAGGTTTTCACCTTTACTTGGCAACGGCATTGCGGGTAAAGTGGTGTGTTCAGCCAAGATACGGAAATATACAAATTGGGTAAATGTGGGGATAATTTCAAATTGTGTAAAGAGTGAAAATTGCACAAATGTACACACTGCGCATTAAATAATTGTTTGAATAAGGAACCGACTGGAGAAACCATATCAATGAATCACCTAAATCACTACAAATGTCACTGACAGTGTTTTCAGCCACTGTGCCCCGAAGCTCTGGATTCCCTCCCTCAATCCCTCCGCCCATTGCCCCCTCCCTCCACACTTTCAAATCCCATCCAAAGACCTTACATTTTGATTGTGTTCACTGTCACCTCTCCCCTCCCTCTACCCCTGGATCGGGGTCAGACTCCCCCTCTGTCAAGCGCTCTGGGACGCTGCCCCGCGTGAAGGACGCGATATAAATGCAAGTTGTTGAATATAAACTCAAGTCTAATAAGTGGAGACATTGCTGTATGGGGCAGTGCTGCCGCCATCTGGTGGTGACAAGATGAACGGCAGTGGGTTCCAGGACCAACATCTGTCACTGAAGCACTCGCCCAGTCAGTCATCGGGTCCTTTTCCATGTTGTTTAATGATTCTTTTCACCTCTCTTTCATTGCTTCAGGCACTCTTCTAAGGGCTTTACTAACGGTTGGACTATTTCTCTTAGCGTTGTTTTATATTCTCCCTTCATCAGTCCTCTATCACCTGACAATATTTCTCTACAATGTTGTCAGTCTCCAAATGTTTGCCTTCTTCTGGTGTTGGTGGACACAAAGTGCAGACAGTGGGAAAGGTAAGATTGAAGCCAAACAAAGCCAAAACCCCATGACGGTGGGGATGAGAGTAGAGACGATGATGGACAGCGTCAGCTCAGGTAAACGTCTCACATCTTCTGATGTTTAAAATGTGAATGATGTACATTTACTGATGCAAAAGCTGACAGTCTGTCATGAACAAGGAATGTCTCTGAGGGATTCCACCTGAATATGCCAAAGCTGTGCATCAGCCCGGCTCAGTCTGTAACACTCTCACACACACCAGGACTTTCAGCTCACAGCCTCGGATGACCCTCTGGTACAGAGCTGAGGGAATTAATATAAGGTCCTGTCTGTGCCTATTCAGGTGAATGTAAAGATCTCACACTACTAATGAATAGAGAACTGTCTCTGTTACAAGAATCAAATCACTAAAGCCGGTCTGTCAGGGCTGACAGATTCTCCCATTCTGTCCTGAGGAGCAGTCGCTGCCCACACACTGTCTGTGCCCCAACCGCACTCCCGCCTGCAACTGTCCTGCTCCTCGAGCCCCTCTTTGTGTTATTTTTCTGTTTCTCTGAGCTCCGGCCTCTCCGACTCTGGATCCTGATACCAGGACTCCGGGTATTCGGAATTCAGACCCAGACAGACCGGGATCGACACCAAAATAAGTTTTGAAAAGGTTTCCGTGGGCCTTCGCTGTGTGTCCTCCCGTGGGCTCCCCTCTCCTGTCACACTGAGCAGCCTCACCATCCTCACTGGCCGTCACAGGGGCCGGGGATACCCACTGTCACTCAGATTGTTTGAATCACTGATTCACTATCTCCTGTTCCTGGGATTCAAACAATTACAATTTATTGGTGTTTTACAATAAAGCAGTAAATGCCGGGACCGACATTGGAATGACACTCAGCTGGAAATTCCGGCTCTCCAGACGGGATCTCCCCCATTGGTCCGGCCTCGAGCCGGGGGTTCAGTGTAATGAGCCACTGTAGCCGCCAGACAGCACAATCAGCACCAGCACCGCAACAGCTCGTCTGGATTAACATCATTCAGAGCATCAGAGGAACCTGACACCCAATGTGTGGGAGCAAAACGTGAGCCATCTGTGTAAAGCTCATCGCCAGCTCGTCTCTGTGCTCGTGTTGGGAGAATCTGACTTGCCATCCAGTGTGTGACTCACACGCTCTGAGACAGGGATATATATCGCTGATATCTTTCTCTCCAGCAATGCCCAGTCTCACAGTCGGGGCTGTGCTCAGAATCTCACTGAAATCTCCCAAATCACTTTTATATCTATAAACAGGTGCCGTGTTGTTCCCCAGTGAGCGGCCGCGTCTCACTGTGTATAAACACTGTGTGTTTTCAGTGACAGCTTTTATAATCTGTAACATTTCTCTCTCAATCACTGTAACAATCGCCCAAGAAGCGACATCTTTAACCTTCTTTAAGCCGAGGTCACGTCTGTGTCTGTTCAAGTGGATATTAATATCCAAATATATTGTCATTCACTTGCAAAAAACTGCCACAATTTACAATAAAACATATTATTATTATTATTTTATGGCCAATCATTATACACAGTCTACACACACCCCTCACCCTCTGATACACACATCCCTCACAGTCAGCCCCTGACCCACACCCTGAGATGTCTTAACTCCCTCTCCCCCTTATGTACAGAGACCACACGGATAACACAGCGCTGAGACACCGAATGCCCACCTCCTCCTCTGACCCTCATTACTCTCTGCTCCAGTGGTTGTTTCTGATCCAGTTGTTGCTTCCCTCTCCAGCCTCACCGGCTGCTCCATGTTTGGGGTTTGCTGAGACATCTCAAAATGCTTCAGAGAACATACTGTAATGTGTAGTGACTGTGTGTTCTGTGGGCGAAACGCTGCAGTGAAGTGTGCACAGCAGTGACCCACAAACAGTCGTGAATTGAGTGACCAAATTAATTTTGGGGAGAGATTATTACCCCCAGAAAGCGATCCCACCATTATCAACCAGGTTCCTACTTACCGCTTGGCAAAGAGAGGTGTGTGGTGTAAGGAAACTTGTCTAAGGTTTCGCCCCACCCAGGAATCTCTCACTTGTGAGGCGAGTGCTCTCACCACTGAGCTATAGGACTCTACTGTTTTCAAGAGGAAGCCGGACCTCCTAAACCTATCCTCACCCCCTCCCCTTTATGGGGGGCGCAGGCAGGTCAACAACACACAGGATGGGCACACGTGTTTGTGACGCTCCCTTTAAGCTCAGTCAGGAGACCTTCGCATGAGGGAGAGGAGGATTGAATGGAATGGGAGGCAGTAAGGAATGGGTGGGGACTGATGTGGAATATAAACACCGGCACAGACTGGTTTGGCGGTTTCTGTGCTGTATATTCTTTGTAAATTGAAGTGTAACTCAATGCGCAGCCCCTGAGGTGCCCGACTGAGACATTTCCCAAACCACTGGCGGCAGAAACATTCACAAACTGCGTGAATTACACACAGACCCGGGAATGGCATTCTGTGTTTCCACCTTTTGGGAATATGGTGAATCTGCCCCATGTTGATGCTGTGTTTGCAGAGACTGTCATTAATTCTGCCGCTCAGTCTATTCAGTCTGTCACAGCCCGTCAGCAAGTCTCCACTATTCACAGACTCAGACAAAACCAGACTGAGACACACTGTCACCCACACTATATTTATTATATCAAGACTCGACTCCACCTCCACACGATGCAGATCATCCAGAACCGCACCTACTCCCAATCCTATCAGCCCCGCACTCACTTGATTCCAATGGCTTCCCATCCCCAGAGGATAGAGCTCAAAATCCTCATCGTCTCCATCAAGGCCCCCCACGGCCTTGTCCCTTCCTCCCTCTGTGACCGACTGAGCCATTACCAACCAAACTGGGCAGAGAAGAAGCACAAAGGCTGTGACAGGACAGCGGAGCCATCACCGCCCCTCACACAGACTGACACACACAGCGGGAACGGGAGGCAGTGGCTCCGGACACGGCTCTGGGCCTGAGAGCCGCGGTCTGACCACCTGCCACAGGCGGGAAGTGTGTGAAGGGACACAGTGGCCGCCACACACAGCGGGTCCTGGGGGTCACTGGTTTACCGCACACACCACACAAGTGCGGGAAGGGCGGACAGTGCTCGAGGAGCGAGTCCCGGCAGCTGCTGTCTTACCTCCCGCAGGAAGAGCTTCACACGAGGAGGAGGAGATGGCGTCGGTTATCTGTGGTGACGATCGGATGTCAATAGCGTTTGAAGTTGATTTGGGTTTGAGTTATAAAAGGAAATGCTGTTGAACAGTGAACAGATAGAGAGACGGTGCGGACACGTTTACGCCACAGAATTCAATAGAATTCAATACAATATAAATAGTATAATTTAAGTGTATCGCTGAAGCTGAAAGAACAGTTGAAAGAGAAAGGAAACTGTTGTGAATCGGGACAAGAAAGTTGCACAAGAAAGTTTGTAAATGTATATTATTAAACAAACAAGAAATATTTTAAAAAGAGTGGTTTGAGGTCCTCTGTCCGTCTGGAAACAAAACCCTTCGGCTCTGCTTTTGCCCATCTCTCCCCTCCCCACCCCCTCAGCTCCCATTCCCCCCTCAGGTGCCCATCAGCTCTGTGAAGCGCTTTGAGCCATCATCTCGACATGAGGCGCTGTGTCAATATAAACTGTACTGTCACATCCCAAACTGGTCTCAGTGACTGTGAGGCTGAGAGCAGCTGAACTCACGGACTTGTTTTAAACCAGAAATATATTTCTTTGTTGATAGAATATATATTTACACTTTCCTCAAAAAGAAACAAATGCCATAAGAGAATGAAGAAACACAACACGTTATTTTACCATTACGGGACGTGACAGCCCCGACCCCTTGTGGTGGGGGGTTGGGGGGGAGGGGCTGCCATTGCGCACTCCACTTTGGTGGAGGGACCAAGGCTCCCCCCCCCCCCCCCCCCCCCCCGGGGATCTGCTGCCCGTTGCGGGATGTGCTCACATTTCTTGGGGGGAACGCTCCCATTAAGCACAGTCGGGAAACGCCCCGTGTGCACCACAGACATGTGTGACTGCACACACCCTGATAAGGGGCACTTCCATTTACAGATGTCACCCCAATGTGCACCGTAAACACATATAATTACACTAACAAAACACCCCGAGACATCGAACACAAACCATACACTGCAATAAACACACAACCAGTCAACCCCCTGTCACTGTGTGAGGTTAGTGACTGAGCTCAGTCACTGTGTGAGGTTAGTGACTGAGCTCAGTCACTGTGTGAGGTTAGTAACTGAGCTCAGTCACTGTGTGAGGGTAGTGACTGAGCTCAGTCACTGTGTGAGGGTAGTAACTGAGCTCAGTCACTGTGTGAGGTTAGTGACTGAGCTCAGTCACTGTGTGAGATTAGTAACTGAGCTCAGTCACTGTGTGAGGTTAGTGACTGAGCTCAGTCACTGTGTGAGGTTAGTAACTGAGCTCAGTCACTGTGTGAGGTTAGTGACTGAGCTCAGTCACTGTGTGAAGTTGGTAACGGAGCTCAGTCACTGTGTGAGGTTAGTGACTGAGCTCAGTCACTGTGTGAGGTTAGTGACTGAGCTCAGTCACTGTGTGAGGTTAGTGACTGAGCTCAGTCACTGTGTGAGGTTAGCGACTGAGCTCAGTCACTGTGTGAGGTTAGTGACTGAGCTCAGTCACTGTGTGAGGTTAGCGACTGAGCTCAGTCACTGTGTGAGGTTAGCGACTGAGCTCAGTCACTGTGAGGTTAGTGACTGAGCTCAGTCACTGTGTGAGGTTAGTAACTGAGCTCAGTCACTGTTTGAGAGTAGTAACTGAGCTCAGTCACTGTTGAAGTTCGTAACTAGGTCTGTGCACTGATACACACAGTAACTCCACTTTACAGTGAAATGCTATGAGATTCAACTCATGAGACATGAAATCTGTTATACCATATACAAAAGTTATTATTGTAATCATTATATTACCACCTGCACCAGTACAAAGGTGAGATAGTGTCTGACCCCAACCGGCAACACACCTTAATAAGCCGAGCTCTCATCATCCACACATCCCCACCCATCAGGGCATCTGGTCTGTGGGGAGGAAACAGGGACACTGACCCTGTTATATAACAGTATAATAATTATATATATTTTATAACAGATTATATTCTGTTTTTAATGGCCTTTAGTTTCCGACTCAATCTTGATCACACGGAGAAGGTCACAATGTTAAGATCTGCCCCCGTGTCCTCTCCCGCTCCAGGTTGTGTGAGTCTATCACCCCATCCCAGCTCAGCTCCATGAGCTCCCCATCCCCAGCTGATCAAGTTCCAGATCCTTGTTTCACCTTGAAAGCTCTCCTCGGTGTTGCCCTCCCAACCTCAGCAAACACCTCCAACCATACAGATCTGTTACACATTAACCTGGAAATCAATCACGTGGGACGTTTTCTGTGGATTGAAGATTATTCCAGGGAAACGTGAGGGTGTAACCAGGGTCTCAGAGCAGGAATGTTAGTTACTGACAGCAAGTGATGAGCAACAGTCAACACTAACAGTGAAAATCACAGGACTTTTCCCCACTCGATATTGTAGGGAATATTTGAACTGCGCTTTCCCTGTTTGTGTGGCTATAATGTGATTCCCACAGAAAACGAAAGCAGATTAGCCTCTGGACATCGCCATCCCGGACACAGGTTTAATTTACTGTTTATAGTGAAGATTCTTCTCTTTCGATGCAAAACCTAAACAGGTCAGTGTCGGAAATTGTTTCCTGAAATGAACTATTATTTTACCATTAAAATAACGCCTTAACTTTACTGCGATTCCAGTTACAGGATTCACTGGTTTCACTTTCACATGTGGTGATGTGGAGTTTAAATATGAAATAAATGTTCTCTATTGTCAGGTTTGTGTCAGTAGTAAAGCGGGAGCTCTGCAGTCAGTTTATTCCCAGTTTGTGGTTTAAACGCTGAGAATTGGAGGCAAGTGAGGAGGGAAGGGAATGGGAGCTCCTCTCTGACCTGCACCATGTTGGGGTGAATAAGGAGCGGCTGTGAGGAGGGGGAGGGGAGGGGCACATTACAGCAGTTACACATAACATGTTTCTTCCCCAGTCTGATTGCTGTCAGGTCACTGGTGTTTACAGTATTTCCTGTGAAGCGCTTTGAGACGTCCCTGGATGTAGAAGGTGCAGTGTCAGATGTCAGGATTATTATTCTCCGAGGTCACCTTGACAAGGGCTGAGGGTTGAAGCTCAGACAAACAGACGGAGACTGTGTGAGTTTGGAGCCTGAACCAGCAAAAGGTTCTACTGTATAGGGTTAAAAGCAAATCAGTGTCAGAAATTGTTTCCCGATATGAAAAGTTTATTGTGATTAAAAAATTCATTTTATTTTTACTGTTATCCACTGACTTGGTTTAGCCGAAACAACAAGAACAACTTATATATCGCCCTCCACTCAGGGCAGCGTCTCAGAGCACTTAACAGTGGTGATGCCTGACTCCGAGCCTGAGTCAGAGGGTTGTGGGTTCAAGCCCCACATTAGGACTTTGAGCTCACAGTGTAGACTGACACTCCAGTGCGGTGATCGGGGAGCACAGCATTGTCGGAGGTGATGTCCTTTGGATGTGAGGTTAAGCTGAGGTGCTCTCTGCCTGTCCGGTGGATGTTAAAGATGCAAATTGCTGTTGTTGTTCCACCTGTTTCAGGCAATTACTTTATTCCCAAAGTTTGGAAGAACACTTTGTTCAAATGCTGATCTGGATTCTGACACAGATCTGATGTTATTGTGTGTTACTAATTTATTATGAATTGTCTGTTGATTTCCTCGTGTTTCAGTGCTCGATGTCCTGACAGATGATGGAGAAGATTTTCATTGTGATTTTCCTGTTTGAGATTCCAGCTTCACTTTCCGGTGAGCAACACTGTCATTTTCTGCTTAAGCGTCACTGTCACAATAATATTGCTATTCATTACAGAGGCAACTAAAAGATTAGATCACTTATCAAAGTAGAGAATAGTTTTGTTTCTGATAAAGAAACCACTCACTGTAACTGGAAGCTGGAGCTTGTAATCACTGCAGCTAAACCTGCCCCAGGAAAGTGCTGTATCTGTCAGCTTCCCTCAGTCTATCAGCCCATAACTGTGGCTGAAAGGTCCTCACCAAACCTGGTCTATTCCCAGCTTCTCCTGATCACCTGTTCAGTGATGAACAACAGTGTCTCATTTCTGATAGAAATGACAATTCCCGACTGTGTTAATGAGCTGAACGAGAGGACATTCTGGCTGTTTACACTGGAGCCGTATTTCAAACTATATTTGCAAAGGTTGTGAGCTGTCCGTGTTCACAGCACTGAACTCCGAGAGTAAATGTATCAGGTGAAGCTGAGATGGGAAGATGGGAGGTGAGTATTCTGGGAAGATGAGGTCAAATGGGCTGAAGGACTTCCTTCATCTGAACCTCTCTTGTGATCGTGTGAAATGTGTCCACTGATGAGATTATAAACTGGTGATTTATATTCATCTTTTAAATGGTAACATTGCTGCACATTTCCAAATAAAGTATATTTCTGTAATAAGACAGTTTCTGTGCAGACTCAGGTCAGTTCATATCTCAGACTTTCAGGGCTTCAGGAAACCAGACACTGTAAAACTGTCAGTGACAGTGACACAAATAAACTATTGCAACTCATAGTTTCACATTTAAATAGAAACAAATCATAATAATGGTTTAATAATTGATATTGTATTGTTCACTAGATTCTTTTATAGTTAATGGTCCACGTCAGCCTGTCCTCACAGCTCTGGGGAACGATGTCACTCTGGGATGTTGGTTAACACCAGGAGTGGCTGCAGATATGATGGTCGTGGAATGGAGTAAATCTGATTCTGGGGTTGTGGTGCATTTATACACACGTGGAGTGGATCGACTTGATCAGCAACATGAAGCCTACAGAGGAAGAACTGAGCTCATTAGAGACGGGATGACTCGAGGAAACTTGTCTCTCAGACTGAAGAACGTGAGGTGCTCAGACCAAGGAGAATACACATGTTCTGTGAGATCCACAACAGATTTTGGTGAAACAACAGTGGTTGTGAAAGTTGAAGGTTTGTTGTGTTTAACCTGTACATTTCCCTATTCTAAGCTCATGTTCCCACCCCGTCCCAGTCAATATATTTACCAACCTCAGAAATTCACCATAATCTCTACCAGAGCCCGGTGTGAACTGCACAATGTAATGATTTGTCATTCTGGCTCAATGTGGGCAATTGGCTGCCGCGTAACACCCACAAAATACAGTCAATTCACTGTACAGTATATTCTGTGAAGGGCTTTGAGACATCTTGAAAATGTGATAAGGCTCTATATCAAGTGAAGGATTATTATTGTTCATTGGAAGGACTCTTGTTGTTTGGTTTAGAGGGTTGTGGGTTGAAGCCCCACATCAGCACCTGAGCTCATAGTTCAGGCTGATACCACACTCTGTCACTGAAGGACACTCAGTGTTAGAGGCTGACGTTTGGTGAGATGTGAAAATTGACAGTTTGCACCTCTTTGTTCAGGTGGACATTAATGATCCCATAAACTGATGGAGAAGGTCGTGTCCTGCAGATTAATTGGCCATTCACTTGATGGTACAAATGACTATAACCTTAGCCTTCAAAAAGAGTCACGACATGTGAATGATTAGGTGTAAAGTACTGAATGTTTTGATTTGATCAGTTGTTACAAAAGTTCTGTCTTTGTAATTGTTGATAACACAGTGTATTATTGTTACAGACCGCAGACGGCTGCCCTTGATTTCCATGGCAGGTTACCAGGACTCGAGGCTTAAACTCACCTGTAAATCAAAAGGCTGGTATCCCGAACCTCGTGTAGTTTGGTTTGATAGGAGTGGAGCAAAGGTGAAAGCCAAGACTGAAACATGCACTCAGGGGTCTGAAGACTGTTGGAAATGTGAAAGTAGCATTGATATAACCAGAGATTCTACAGACAGATTCACGTGTCTGACAGCAAACTTTCTGGAGGAAAGTGAGGCGAATATCCAGGTATCAGGTCAGTGAAACATTTGGAAAAATATAAACACTTCAATGCAACGTATTACAGTTCATATTGTGATGTGGAACAATCCACAGCAGCTCCCAATGTTCAATCTGAGGCTTTCATTCTGATTTCCTTTCAGCCACTTTCATCATAGGATAGTTTGCTATTGTAATTGCAAATAATTAATTACACAACAACAACAACAAGATTCCATTTGTATTGCGCCTTTCACGTTGGGAGGATGTCCCAAGGCGCTGGACAGTGTACAGCATTTCATGTATTTCTGAAATACATGAATTTGGTGTGTGTGGCTTTTCGCTGTTAGTGTTTCCAGTCAGCTGTGGAGTCCTGTAGCTCAGTGGTTAGAGCCTCACAAGCGAGAGACCTGGGTTTGATTGTCGGAGACGCTGTCCTTCAGATAAGACGTTCAGGTGGATTTTAAAGATCCTCTGCCACTTTTCATGAAGAGAAGGAAGTTTTCCAGGTATCCTGGCCAACAATCCTACAGATAAATTGGTCATTCACTACATAACTGTTTCTGGACATTGATAGGAATGATAGGATTATTATTACATATGACACAAAATTTCTTTGTGTTACAGAAGTGTTTTTCCACCGAGGCCCAGACTGGCTGGTGGCTTTCCTTGTGACGTTCACTCTTGTGCTTGGAGCAGCTGGTGTGTTGATGCTCTTCTGCAGAAAACGATTGAAAAAAGTAAAAGGTATTAAATGATTTTAAGTTTCCCCCAAAATATAATCTTTACTTTCATCCTTTATATAATCCATAACATATTAAGGAGAGCACTGGCAACGTCTGAGCACAGGTGACGAAAGCGAGAGTGAGTGTCTCTGATGTGTTGGGTGTGAGGTAGGGGCGGAGGCGGGTGATGTGGTGGGGGTGAATGAAGGCAGTTTTGATGAGGCACTGCAGTTGAGTGAGAAAGGAAAGCTGGGGATCAAAGCGCATGCCACGGTTGTCACTGAGAGAATTAGAGACAGGCTGGGGAAGCTTGAGGAGGTCAGAGCCAGAAGGGGATGGCTTCAGTCTTATCTAAACAAACAAATTGAGATGGATCTTGAAGGAGGCATGAGAAGGGGTGAGGTGGGATGGAGTTCCAGAGGGTGGGGGGAGAGAGGCTGAAGGCTCGCCCACCAATGTTGGGGTGGGCAAAGCGGGGAACATGAAGCAGGCCGGAGGATGCTGAGTAGAGGGAGCGACAGGTTGGTAGGAGGTTAGGAGGTCACAGAGGTAGGGAGGAGAAAAGCCGAGGAGGTGAGGATCAGGAACTTGGAACTATATCATCTGAGTCATGTGGAGTCGGGCAATCAGGAGGGTGATAGTGTCACGGTGTCTGGAGCAGAAGAGGACACAGGCTACAGATTTCTGGATAATCTGCAGCCTGTGGAAGGAGGAGTTGGGGAGGCCGACAAGCAGGGAGTTTGTGTAGTTGAGCCTGGATGTGATGAACGCATGGATGAGGGTCTCGAGAGAAGTGGCAGAGCCGGGCAATGTTGCGGAGGTGGGGAAAGGCGAAGCGGGTCATGGCAACGATATGGGGGATGAAGGTCTGTTAAGAGTTGAACAGGACACTGAGGTTCCGCATTGGCTCCATGATGTGTAGAGTGCAGCCATGAAGGGCGATGTCAGTGCCCGGGTTATGGAGGCACTGACAGGAGCAATGCAGGACGGCCTTGGTCAACTGGAGAAAGTTAGCTCTCATCCAGGACTTGATGTCTGACAGACATTCTGTGAGGACAGCAGTGATCCTGGAGTCGAGGTGGAGGTGGAGTTGGGTGTCACCACATATATGTGGGAGTTGACTCCATGTCTATGGATGATGTCACCAAGAGGGATCTATACTGAGTTGGAGGAAATTTTGTCTCGTCCAGGCCTTGATATCTCACAATCAACTGGACAGATCATCAGGGACCTGGGGTCGAGAGTAGATTTGGGGTCATCCACATCCATGTGGGAATTAAGTCCATGTCTGTGGATGATGTTGAGGGACAGAGTGACTGTGTTGGCCAGTATGGGGGCAATTGGGTGATCAGGAGATGGGTGGGGAGGGAGCTGAGTGAGCAGGTGGTGAGCTTTATGTTATGAGAAGGAAGATGTGGTCAGGTGTATTTCGTTGATTTTTGTTGTTGAACGTGAAAGGCGCAATATAAATGTCATTTTGTTATTATTATTCTCTATTGTCTCTCACACATAAAGAGAAGTTGTGGGATAAAAGGCTGGAAATGTTAATCAGAATGTGTCTTGTCGTTTCCAAACTGCAGAAGGATTTGCTCACACAGAGGGATGTGAAGATGTCGAATTCTTTGCCCCAGAAATCTGTAGAGAAGGAATCAATTTGAATATTTAAATGAGAGACAGAGACTTGGAAAGTGGAAATATTTGGTGAAGAGCAGGGAATTGGATTTAAAAGATTAAAATTGGTGGAAGAGGCTCATGGGCTGAATTGTCTTCTCCTGTTCCTCTTTTCCTTTACTAAAAGCTGATGTCAATTAGAAGTTACCTAAAGCAGAGCCTTTAGTGCACTGTTATTTTCACTAATATTTAATAAAATATTGTATTAACATTTCTGCTGGATTGTTTCTGTTACATTTAAGGGAAACGTCCAACAGTTACTGATGGGGACGACACTGACGATTGTGTTTTTATTTTCCAGTTTATGAAAATCTAAAAAAGGGATTTAAAAATCTGGGTAAGTAACAACATTACAAACATCCCCGAGCCTCAGCCTCCCCGAGAGTCAGGTCCTCGGAGACCTACCACAAGCCCTTCCTGTGCTCTCTGGTGACCTCAGCATTTATATACATAACACAACCAGACACATGCACACACACCCAGACACATGCGCACACAAACACACACATGCACACCCAGACACATGCACACCCAGACACATGCACACACACACAGACACATGCACACACAAACACACCCAGACACATGCACACCCAGACACATGCGCACACAAACACACACATGCACACACACACAGACACATGCACACACACGAATGTGCACACACACAAAAAGAGTCACAGAACAACCTGAACTAAACCCACCTCCTGTGGAGTGAAGAAATGTGTGATGATTCTGTGCAGATTAGGAGAATTTCATTGTGTTTTGACTGTAGAGAGAAAGTGAAACTTACACTTTAACACAAATTAAATCATTCTGATACAATGAGTGATTTAAAAAACATGGGATTCAGGGATGAGCAGGAAGCCAGAGACGGCCAAATGAAGGGGTGGGTAGAGGAGTGGGGTGTGAGCAGGTCGGAGAGTTAGGGAGGTGCTGGACATGAGGTGATTTGTCAGTGAGTGTGAGGATCTTGAAATGGATCTGTTCAGTGATAGGGAGCCGGTGGAGCCCGGCAAGGGCTGGAGTGACGGGGTTTGGAGTTTGTTGTGGGTAATGTACCAAATGTTAAGGATTATTAATATTATCATTATTCACTTATTGAGATTGTAAATGTTTAATCAGTTTTGTCAGTTTCTACAGTGCAAAAAATCCCCATTCTTAATGTGAATTACAATACAAATTGTGAAATAACAATAGATAAGGAAGAAAATCTTATATTTTTGATTTGTTTACTGATTTAATTTCCTTCATTTGATGTGAGCACGTATCCTCCTATCACAGTGAGTTTGGAAAGTTTGAGCTTAAAGGAAAATAAAGAAACTGAATAAAATAAACCAGATAAGTTTGTTAACTTTTTTTCAAAAATTTAAAATTACATTTTCTAAAACCTTTTCTTTTGTTTTAAAGATAATGAACTGAAATCTGCCAAACAAGGTACAGTACATTGTGTTATTGGCACTAAGTGTTTATGATGGAATTCCATCAGTGATGATGTCCCATAAGTGAATCAATCAATGACGACTGACTTCAACATTCAAACCGTCTTCACTCAATGGCTTTCAGTCTCGTGAGAAACTTTACATTGTTTATTAATATTTGTTTCTTTCTTTAGACCTAAAATACATGAAAAAAACACTGGGTAAGTTTTAATCTCCTGGAGCGTGAAATAAGTTTCCTTCTCATCGCGCCTCCCCTTGTTTTAACCGGATGATTCTGGGAAGGGTCAGTGGGAAAGGGGGTTAGTGAGAACTTTGGATAATGATAAGCTGTGAGGTTTCAGCAGGAAAAACATGAGCAATTCCCCTCAATCCATCCTCTGTGGACCACAAGCCTTGCTTCTGGACAACCCATGTCTAAACATTAGTAAACCCGGGAGCATGGCGCTGGGGAGAGGGTTCATTCTGTATCAGACAGACACGGAAACTCTACACACAGTTTGTGGAACTCCGAATAGTTTGGTTTGGAGACTCTTAACCCCAGTGATGGGTTTGTGTGTGTGTCAGACTCTGACCAAAACTAAGTCCATGTGTTTTTTTTAATTGGTGAAAACAAACTCTGATTGGGATTTGGTGAGATCCTGAAGCCTCAGTGGTGAAGGGTTGTTTATCAGCTGAATCACAAGACTGTGAATAGGTTCAGTGTGTAACAGTGGGGGGTGATTTGTGGAAATAAACAATCAATAAATATATTGTTTCCTTTCAGAACTGAAAAAACAATTCACCAAATCAGGTACTTGATGACTTTATCCTCATTTACTGTTGTTGATGTTATTGATGTAGAATTGTGCTGCTTCTCAAAGGATCAATTATTATCACCTCTGATAAAGATAATAAATTAAATGTAAGAAATACGATTATATTAAGATTATAAGCAAAGTTTGACGTGAACTTTCAATGTACAGTTCAGTCATCTCACATCTACAAATGTGATCAGTTTGTCAGACTCTGTAACCTGGAGAGATCTGAACCCAGATATTGAGTTACACCGATAGATTACAGTAGAACAGAAGAAATGCTGGAGGAAAAAAGCCCAATATCCATCCAGTTTGCCTTCCACCTTCCTGGCAGTCGCACGCATATCCCATAATGTTATTTCCTAAAAGAACATTTCTAATCTGTGTTTGAAAGAATCTACTCAATAATAATCCTTGCATTTGATATAGTGCTTTTCACATCTTCTAGACGTTTCAAAGCGCTTCACACAATGTACAGTAAAGTGAATTTACTGTATATTTGTGAGCGAAAGGCACAGCAGCGTCCCACAAACAGTCAAGGATTGAAGTGACCAATTTATTATTATTTTCCTTTCTGGAGGGATTATTATCAGGTGTGTGGAGTAAGGAAACTTGCCCATGGTTTTTCCCTGTGGGAATTGAACCCAGGTTTCTCGCTTGCAAGGGGAGTGCTCCAACCACTGAGCTACAGGACTCCACAGGATCATTGGTGAGATCATACTCTTAATACAGTCTCACCAATGACTTACAAAGTGACCCGATAACCCCACTATTTCCACTTTCTATTGATCTTTTGATACATCCCAACAATAGATTGTCAGGAATAACATATATTGAAGTTTACAAAAGATGAAATTATAAGCAAAATCTTATTAAATTAAAACTTCTGTTTCTCTCCAGAGTGGCAGGTCGTTGGCAGTTGTAAATGTAAGTTACCCCACATTGCAGTCTGGTTATACACCCCACATTACAGGCTGGTTATAGACCCCACATTACAGGCTGGTTATAGACCGCACATTACAGGCTGGTTATAGACCCCACATTACAGGCTGGTTATAGACCCCACATTACAGGCTGGTTATAGACCCCACATTACAGGCTGGTTATAGACCCCACATTACAGGCTGGTTATACACCCCACATTACAGGCTGGTTATACACCCCACATTACAGGCTGGTTATACACCCCACATTACAGGCTGGTTATACACCCCACATTACAGGCTGGTTATAGACCCCACATTACAGGCTGGTTATAGACCCCACATTACAGGCTGGTTATAGACCCCACATTACAGGCTGGTTATAGAGACCCCACATTACAGGCTGGTTATAGAGATCCTACATTACAGGCTGGTTATAGAGACCCCACATTACAGGCTGGTTATAGAGATCCTACATTACAGGCTGGTTATACACCCCACATTGTCAGTGTGCGGAGAAAGTTGCTCTAATTGACGATGTGTAGAAATTATCAGCAAAATGCAGGTTTATCAAGTGATTAACAAAATATCGCTCATAACCTAATTTTCAGTCTAATTTCCAGTTGTGTAAAGTGCACACATCACACTGTAGATGTGCATCCCAAAAAATACCGTATGTGTGACAGGACGGGTGGGTGTAGCAGAGACTGTTGTGTCAAGTGGACTCACCGTTGCGAGTTGTGTTAGTGACGCCCTGATAATGAGCTCCTGAGCCCAGCTGATAAACTTGTGTTTTCTCTCAGGCTGCAAGGATCTTCTTGTGGGGTTTGGTAAGAGACTTGATTGAATACAATGCTTCATCACTTCGTTGAGACGTCTCAAAGCGCTTCACAGAATATACTGCAAGGAGAATTGACTATATTTTCTGGGCACATCGCAACTGCTAATTACACACAGACAGCAGTGTCCCACAAACAGTCATGGATAAATCACCAAATTACTATTTTTGGGGAAGAAATTATTACCCCCAGAAAGGGATCCACTAATCGACTAACGATTGGGTTCCTACTTCCTGCGAGGTAAACAGAGGCAGGTGGAGTAAGGAAACTTGCCCAACGTTTCACCCTACCAGGAATCAAACCCAGTTCCTCTCTTTCTTCCAAGGCGAGTGCTCTAACCACTGAGCTACAGGACTCTGGAATATTAATGCAATAAAGAAAATGATTGTGTAATGACGCATAAACACAACTGTATAAAACAATCTCAATTGAACAAATTGATTCTAACTAAATTTTCTTTCATTTCCAGTCAAGGCCAGAATCCACAGTTATGCAGGTAAGACATTAATATAGTATAAATGACACAATTCAGAACTGCTCAGATCCCACCCCAGATTTAGCACAAAGATGTACAGACAGAAGGTCCCAGCCTGGTCTGTGCTGAGGTATCTGATCTCAGTCGGGGAGGGAGGGGCTCTACACATGGCCTCAGGGCCCGGATATGGATAGACAATAAGCCAAAGTCACTGTGCCTCATCACATTCAGGGATTCCTCCCCCACTCCCATCCCAGGCTTTCTGTAAATACCGGGTGAGGAGAGGATCAGGCTGTGAGGCCCTCAATGGTTGAATAGCCAACCAACACTGGCTGTCTAGACTCTCACATGAACAAGTCACTTGAGAGAGCTACAGACTAGAACCAGACACAGTGAGTGTGAGCACTGAGCCCGACTCCTGCTCATCGCCCTCTGCACGGTCACTAAAGCTGTGATGCCATGTTGAGGTTGTAGAGATGCCAGTCCAATCCTGTGCCTCAGGCGCTGGGCACAACAGCTGTTAGTGTGTGGCTGGAGAATGGTATGTGACTGTACCTGGGGAAGGTACTGATAGACCAAGTGCTACATACACTGGTATTGTATTTACTACATTACTTGGTGTCATCCACACTGTCATCTGTCGTAAAATACTGACTTTATATTGTGTGAAGGAATCTGATTACTGACCAATAGCAGTCAGTTGTCATGACTGGACGCTCCTGTGATGTTCTCGTTTGAGTTCCTCTTGACTCAGGACATCAGTGTGTTTCAACTAACGATGACCACATTATGGTGACATGGTGTTTGCCCACAGCAAACTCTGATCTTGTTGTCTGATCAGCAGCCCATATATTTATATATAACTGACCCCCCCTCCCCCCGATCAATCAACCTGTCCACTCAGTTTCAAGATCTAAATTAGTCCACATCGCTTCTCCCAGAGGGACACCGCACCCAAATCACACC